AGTGTTATAGAAAGTTTAAGGACTCCAAGCACACTTTGTTGTACACATTGCCTATTAAATTCTCTAAACCATAAATGTCTACCAAGCATGCGGGCTAAATGATATATACAATTCAGAATACAAGCAACGTTCAAAGTTAGCGTCCGAAATAACATCGACTCAATTACCAGCGACGAGCGCAACGTTATTGATCATCTCATCTTCGGGTTTCTCGCCAAACAACGATGGTTTCACTTTACTTTTCTCGTCCTTGCGGTCCCTGTCATGAACCTCTATAGTTAACGGCGGACCGTGTAGACATTGAGCAAGAATTTCTTTATTGATAGTTCCAAGAAGCACAACATGAATGTCTCTCCAGTAGACCTCTGAGCCGTGTTCGCGTCCAACGCTTTGATGTCGCGGTTGATCGAAAAACTGGTAGTCAAGAAATACTGGCTTGCACCTGCAAAACACCATACATGTCATATGGTTATTATAGTGAAGGAATGATGATCATCATCATCCTGCCGCCTCGGCCTGGAGTGAGTGCACAACAGACATGGCCACAGGAAGATCTCTAGTGTCTATCTTGGTATCCCTAGATAACACCTGAGGGTAGATAAGACGGGAGGAGTGGTTTGGATATGGAGGTTTCCAGAGAAGGATAGATGAAATGACCTCATTTTTTGCGCGGAAAAAGTGTCCGGCGAACTGGGCTATTCTCTGAATTACTGAGTTTGTAAGGAAGGATATGAATCCGAATAAGTTCGTATTTTGTGTAAACATTCAACTAAAGGACCTACAAAATTCCGAAAAAAGCTTACTGTATTTGGTAATTGTATTTGGAAAGACTGCATCATCATGAGAATATAATTACTTATTGTGAAAGAGTGTATAATACATATATTTTATTTTGATAATTACTTGCCCAGCCGATTGGATACTCGTACACTTTGTTGCAAAAAGGTTGACATTATGACTTTACGAAAAATAAACATTTTATCATCCATATAGCATAACCGCTACGTAAGGGCGCATGGGATCATGTATGGCTCATGTACTTCACAAACGCACAAAAAATACTAAATTTGATGGAAAACGGTAGAGATTAGTCCATTAGCTGTAGCCTGCGTACATACGAGTAAACGATGGATCAAACTCAGGCTAATTAGCTGTTATGCAATGGTAATTCTATTTGCAGGAAAAATCCTTTAGAGACTGGGATTACCCATAATACACCCACTAGCTTATGCTGACAATGCATGAAAGTTTCCCAAGAAGAGTGCATCCTCACCTAGTCTTTAGTTGTTCGTGTGACAGAGGGACATTGGGCATATTACAAGCAGAATTCACTTGAATCACCATAGGGTTCAAATCCTTCTTTTGACTTTCAGATAAGAGGTTTTTGTCGACACTCAATGTGAGAAACAAGTCCCGTACGTGTCCCGAAGGCTTATCAAGTCTTGTTGTGCAGCTTTTCATACCAGAAAAGAACAGAGCAAGTTTAATGGAGACTGAAGCCAAGCCATGTGAACGGACATGTGCTGCAGCGGCCGCTGCCATTTCTCTCCTGGCATTGAGTTTACTATGTTTTTTGTGTTCTAGAAAAAAAGAATGTCATTTACTACAGTGTCCTTTTCATACGTAAACGCTTTGTACGCATTCGTCTCGTTAAAAATATGCTGTAGATATAGTCGGCTGCAATTTATTCTCGTGCGTTTTTAAACGTGCAAAGTAAAGAAGTGCAATCGTGAAGCGATGTAGAGAAAACTTTAACCTTTTTGATTTTCTTTTTGTTGCTGTTGTTTTTATTTGCAAGTGGTCATCGCTCAAACTGTATTTCCAAAACAGAGATTTACGTTCAGCTACGAAAAAAAAGTGTTCCGTCTATCTAACTAAAACCTACGTAAACTTTGTTTAGTACGTAAGTTGTAGTTTTTGCGAGATAGACAGGCAAAAATGAATAGCCGTTGTCACTCGAGAAGAAAGCGGGGATGGAGAAGACTTTTACACGCGCGTCATTCAAACAACAAAAATTATACACAAAGAAGAACATGAAGCGCTTACTGCTTAACACTACGTCCAAGTCTGACTGCTTGACATGAAGCGTTTTTTCCGTGCCACTTTGTCGTCGTTTTCTTGGTGTCACAGTTCTTTCATCAGCTTTAAYTCTGGACATTCTACTTGTGGCTTCTACTTCTCCAGTAGGGTCATCTTGGGACGGTGGTGTGACTCCAGCAAGCTCTGCAAGTCGWCCAAAATGWGGAGTCTCATGWTCATCTACCCGGACTTGTACATGCATTACACTTTGATTGCCCAAAGCTGTGGTGGGCGTTTCAGAAGTGGACAGTGATGTAGAACAAAAGGTCTAAAAAATTGAACCAATCTATAGTAAGTTATGACATACAAGTTGACAGACTCTGAATACACAAGAGAACCTCAAAGTGCAGCTTGTCTTGCAGAGAGGCGTTGTGAAAGAAGGGTTTATTAATTGCAAATTGTTTTCTGTACATAACGCTGTTGTACGAAAAAGTTACAGGACAACATTTTGCAAATTACATGTACATAGAGTTTTTTCCAACGTCATTGCAAAGTGCGTATCAGTATATATAGCCTCTCTAGCTGCTTCTATTGCAATTTCTGATTATATGATTATTTCTGTGACCGACCTAGCCTGCTAACAGGAACGCCTGTTAGCAGGCTATGACCGACCATGACCGCATGTGCAGTTCTCTAGAAACTTGCATTGTTAGACAAGTTTCTGAGACAATTGTACAATGTAACGACACCAGAACGGCACCTCAAAAAGCCAACAGCGTATTTCTGAGTTTATGAATACCTGACTCTAGGATAACCTACCGATGGAGCAGTCACAGCCCTGCTTGTCTCGAGGTCTGACTTAGTATTATGAGATTCAACTTTTCTCTCAATTGTTCGACTTGTTGCTTTAAAGTGTTTCTTTTCTTCTTTTTTCTCTACAAATAAATGTCAATAAATATATTGCATGGGTTTTACTAGTCTCCTCCGCCGCCTCCCCTTTTGTTGGGCTACATATAGGGACAGGAAGCCCGACAAAAGTGGAGACTGCGAAGGAGACTAGGGTTTACAAAAGTGTCAAATCCAAGGACTACAGCTATACATACCTTGTTTTAGTTTTGTGAAAGAGGGTTTAGGTTGCAAATCATCGTATGCCATCATTTGTTTAGCGACTTGTGATTTGACRCTGTTGTCATCTGATTCATCGCCAATTCCTGGTAATCTAAAAGCCTTAGGACGATCAAACCTTGCACGGGGAGACACCTTGTCTTTGGTGTCCCAGATTTTAAGCTCTAAAGTATGATTGTACATTTTTAAAAGAACATCTTTGGTAATKGTGAACTTGTGGCTGCAAATGAAAACAGATGTACAATTTATATCAATATTCAAATAATAGTATAACTTCTAATAGTTTACAACAAACGGCCGTGTTGATGGGAATTACAATCTAAAGACACAGGAGATAGAGAATATTTTGAATAATTATCTATCCCACATGGAAAGCAACTCATCTGTTTGACAAGAGAGTGCTGCCTGTCTTTGCTTGCTTCGATCAAAACCTAGTGAAGGTCTATCGTGCGATATAAAAACGGGGGGGGACTCCCTAATATCAAAGGGCGGGGGTCCTCGGCGGAAATTATGAAAATGACCCCTAAGAGGGACCTGTGTTTGGAGATGATGGGCGTGGCAGTGCTGAAATTTCACCCCTAAAAGGGACCAATCAATAACAGGTCATTTTGTTTTAGTTGAATGCAGCACCTACCTTTCATAGGAAATATGACAGCTTAGGGACGTCATATACCCTAAAAGGGACCACAAACCTCAGTTGGGGGAAATTCTCGTCATTATAACCCTAAKCRGGACCAAAATACCGATTTCAAACCCTAAAAGGGACGCMGAGGAMCCCCGCCCTTTGATATTAGGGAKTCCCCCCCGGGGGMACAGSTAACCGTGAAGGAGACTATTCTGTACCTATGAGTCCAAGCCACCCAAGTCAAATCACCCTCTTTCCAGGTTTTCAAGACYTTTGAGTCAGTCTCCATATAAACCTTAGCTGCAACTCCATAAGTCACTAGATCAGCCTTTACAGTGTCTGACTCAGATGGTAGTAGCTTATATTCCAGGTGAAAATAATGYTGTGGTTTTGGTGCTTCAAACACTCGCCGACGTCCAGTCAAACCTCCAAGTCCTTTTAAGTTGGGTTTGATGTCTTCTTCAACTATARTAAAATATTGAATATTTGATTTTCYRGTACACAMTAAGCTTAGTTCATTAACATTGTTAGAGTCTGATGGTGGTTTAACTTGCATTCCATAGATACCTTTGGTTAACAATCTGCCATAGGTATCTTTCTACATGTATTACATGCAAGCAAGTTTGTCTCTCACTTAAGTGCAAAAACACACATCAGTTTAGGCCTCCAAAGAAGGCATAAGGAACAATGTAAAAAGGATTACTGAATATTTAACATAATGGCTTATTGTTTGTGGATTCTTGGCTTAAGCATGGGTCATGAGTGTGCTACAGTATTGTGTTTTCATTTCTATTGTCTAGTTGAGGATTTTCATAGTGCATATTCTGCATATTTCTAAACGGTAAAGTTTGCTCCATGCAGCAAATGCTTACGTATCACTTCTAAATAGCAATTTTACATATTAAATAGGAATAAATAATATTACCTGTTGGGAACGCTTTCACAATTGTAATTGTGAACGTAACCTTGTGTTCATCTGCTTTTTTCTTCTGTTTTTCGTTTGCTGTTGTCTTATCTTTTGACTCASTCTGGTCTTCCATCCTTCAGACAAATAGACACTTTATATAATTACGGCATCAAAGCGCATTTTATTTAAGAAGTAGGCTTAAAATATCACATTTCAATTAAGTAAAACACGTTCAATTCGACCGCCATTTTTAACTTTATCAGTTCGACTTTAAGAAATCAAGCCGCAGAAAGCAAAAGTTAGGAATTGGGTTTAAAGTAAGGAAGCTAAATACTAATTCTCTAGTAAGCTTGGGATAAATTTAGGTACAAAAGTAACTTAAGTTAATTTGTAAATTAAGATATCGAACTTGATTGAAACCTGCAACTATTTTGWTGCTGTTGTCGCGAAGCCAAACCGTTGAATATCGCGCAAGATTTCACAGGATTGAAAGAATTGTACATGGGAAAGTTTCTCCTACCTTGGTTGATATCAAATAGTCATCTAATGTTGGATAAACATAATGAGCTTGACCATCGCCAGCGATGAAGCATCTTGACTTTTGTTGTTAACCATTGTTGCTAGGTTGTCTGCCACGGAACAATCGCTGACATAAATTATCATAAATTACAGAACAAGCCCACGAAAACAATAGGTCAGCGGATATGCTAAAGTTAGTTGCCAAGCAACGTCTATTCTCAAAACGAAGAATCAAAATGGCTGCATTTCAAAGTTGACTTGACTAAGTTCTTCTATTCAAAATGGACGAAGACAAAAACCCTACAGACGTTGAAACTACACCTAATGAATCACAAGGCATTGAACAACTGCCTGACTTGCCTTTTCCAAACCTAGAAAGTGAACTGATAGAACGTTTGTCGAAACAAGAAAACCATACCCACACAGATGTTGACGACGAAGAGGAAATAGTTAGTTTCAAGCTCGGAAAACCCCTAAATTTACTCGTTATTTCGTTTATTGAACGGTTACTACATAATCTTGCTTTMTTCAGGAATCCATGGAGTACGAGGGTGGACTTTCAGATGATATGATAGCTGACGGTCTGTCACAACTCGGACGTTCAGCGGACGGAGCTATGCAAGTCTATCTCACTATTTTTCTACCTGTAAGTGTTTATGAAGTGCTTATATTTTTCAATAAAGCGTAAAGTTGATGCAATTGTTTGTTTGTAGGCTTGCGAGCTGACAGGCATTGAGCCGCTTGCAGAGTATACAAATCTACAGAGCGTGACATTGTCATATAATTCTTTGACAGGTGGGTTACCTTTGGATTTTTTCTACAAATCCTTTTCTCATCTTCTCCAATGCACGCAACAACCAGTCAGTGTCCGTTGAAAATTTATGCATAATTCTTGATAAACCTATATTCTTAAGCTCTAGTGGGAAGGCTATAAACCTTTGTGCAATAGTACATGACTCGTATTATCTTGTTTTCAGACCTTACACCTCTTGGAAGCATGACAAACCTTATATTTCTTGATGTCTCACATAACAATCTGACAAAATTACTGGATTTCAAACCACCACAAGCATTGCGGGTGAGTACAACTTTCTTTTAATAAAGTAGCTCAAACAAAGTGACAATTTTGATCTATAATTAATTATTATAATAATTTTACAAAAGTACATAGCATATTTAACACTTTTTTTTGTTTTCAGCATGTGAATTACTCTCACAACAAGATATCAGAGCTTCCTGACCTGTCASAGCATCAGTCACTCATCAGTCTCAATCTTGATTGTATCCTAGCTTACTCTATAATGTCTTCTTTATCTAGCCATTATCTTTATCAACCAATGACTGATTGTAGATGACTTCATGTGATTCTACAAAGTGCTTGCACACAGACACTGATTTGGGAGACATTGGATGAAAAACTACATTTAAGACATTGCCACAGAGCTTGTTTATTGGTTTACAATTATTATTATATGTGTGTGGAAAATTAAAGGCCCAGTGTGCACCATTATGCTTTGGGCATAATGAAAGTCTATAAATTGTACTGTGCGTTTCGAATCTTCAACCATCTCACTTTTCTAAGCACTTTTTAAAACGCTAATATTAGAGTTTTCAACCATCTGACATTCGTTTTATGGTGATATTTAGATACTAGAAGTATTCTGGTTAAAATCATAACAATAACAGATGTGCAAATCATAATGGTGCAAACTGGGTTTTTAAGTTAAATGTATTATTTCAAATCAAATTGTGTATTATTTTCTTTGACCATTGTTGTCAGATAATTTCATTACAGAGATCAAAGGTCTTCAGGGCTGCTTTAATCTYAAGAACCTCAGCTTAATGCACAACAAGATTGATAAGATTGCTCAGCTTGACAATCTCCCATTGCAGTCATTGAACTTGGTAAGCTCTTGAAAAAATCCTTTGACCTACACTGCAGTTTCCATTTTAAATTAAAAGATAAATCATGCTTTCTTTCTCAAAATAAGAGGTGAAAAAGACAGAGAGAGAAACTTATTGGCATTTCCAGATGTCAAGGACCTTAGCAAATAAATYTTAAATACAGTTGACTCTCTTTGAACAATCACTCTCATAAGTGACCATATCCCGTATGCGACCTCATTTTAAATTTCCCCTTATAAATATAATTGTTTCCCATATAAACTCTGTAAAAAAACTCTCTCGTAAGCGACCATCTCTCGTAAGCGATCACTTTTTCCTGATCCCGAGGTGATTGCTTGGAAGAGAGTTGACGATAAATAAATAAATAATAATGATTAATTTTGATTTTAAATTTTATATGATTTTTTTAATTTCTAACATAAAGTATCTTTTTTTGATTCTAGAGTTATAACAAAATCAAGAAAATAGAGAACTTAGAAACACTAAATTATCTACAAGTAAGTTGGCAGCAATTTAGTTATCATTCCTTCATCCCTTTATCAAAATGGTAGACACTCATTAGTTTCTGCTTGATGTCCATAGAGTATTGACTTAGCTAAAAATAGTATCAGAAGTATGAAAGGTCTGCAAAACCACACTCTCATTCAAGAAGTGAACCTTGAAGAAAACCAGGTAAATGCGATACGTAGATTAATAAAAAAATAATTATCAATTTCTCAAGTTTGCTCTGACAGTWGACCTAAATCTCCTGCTGATATTATCAGCCAATTTAAATTCAGTTTAGGTAAAAAGTGTTATACTGTAAAAAGTGTCGGTAATGTAACCTCGACTTGAGAGCGTGAGCTGGGTCTTTGTAGTTCAGCAACAATGCGGCAATGGAGAGCAATTAACCCCCTTTGCCTTGTTTTATTTTTTAGATTATTGATATTGCAGAAGTACGGTACATCAGAGAGTTGAAACTACTGAGGAACCTCAACCTACTTCACAATCCAATACAGGTACTAGCCTCCTCCGCAGAAAACTGGATCCTCTCAAATGAAATGTAGTATTTGTAATTATAACACAAGCTTTTATTGGCTGAYKGCCATGRCCAATCAGAGTATGTGTTATACAGTATCTAATGAATTGTTTATTAATGTTTGTTGCAGGAAATGCCAGACTACAGGTTGTCACTCTTATTTAGAATCCAGTCCCTCACYGAATTGGACAAAGCAGCAGTCACACCAAAGGAAAAGGTTGAAGAAATAAAAAACAAAAACACTCAAAAAATGAAAATTACATTAACATTTATTTCATTTCCATTCACTAGGTRGCAGCTATCAATCTATTTAACCCCCCACAAGAAGTGATTGCTGCACGTGATCACATGCTTCATGTWGTAAGGTCACTACTTGAACCTAATACAATACATGACAGGTACAATAAATGAATTGCATTTTGGGCATTTAGATAAAAGGACTGCTTTATATCTACGATTCGTAAAACCGGAGAAACTGAGTGAAATGCACATATATAGATAATTTCCGAGTGGGATGCGCGGCACTTTGGGAAAAAAGAGCATGTTTGCGCACAAAATGAGGTATTTTAGACAAAACCCTCTCGTTTCCATGTCCGTCTGCGATATTTTTCAAAATGCCGCGCATCCCTCTTGGAAATCATCTCTTGTTCGTTTCCAGTGCATCACCTGTTGACTTAACGCCATTTTGAATTACCGCAAAAGATTTAGAATTTCCCGCCAAAGTAGAATTAGGTCATCAGATTCACATTTTCGCGCGTTTTGCCTCAATTCAACTCGCGGGTCGTTAACGTGAAGTGGATTTAGAATTTCCCGCCAAAGTGAGTAGAATTAGGTCCAAGTCATTCAGATTCAATTTTTTTTCGCGTTTTACCTCAATTCAACTCGCGGGTCGACGTGAAGTTAAAAAACTGTATACTGCGACTGCATTTAAAAAAAACCATCTATTTCAAAGCGCTTCCTTTTATTTGACTTCCTGTCCTTTGTAGAGAAAAGGAGACTTTGAGAATGTCTCAGTGCAAAATGTGTTTTATAAGTCTATTGAATAAACTGAATGAAAAAAAATTGAATTGAATGAAGTTTGTTGTTATGTTCAGTACTCTACCAAGTGTTGATACGCCATATCCCATGCTGATACTGTGTGGACCAAGTGGGGCAGGAAAAAAGCTTCTTGGGAAAAGACTCTGTCAGGATTTTCCAGATTTCTTTGGTTTAGGGTAAGTCAACTACCACATATCTATCACATATCTTTAACTTCGTGTTCCCCACTGCCGTTATAGAAAGCCCGTAGCGTCGGCGCAGAAAATGACTGCGAGGAAAACTACCGTTAACAGTCGGTAGGGTTGAAAACCGTGCAAAAGGCAATCACGACTTTTCATACTCAGGTTCAGTGACCACGAACAAAGCATTGAACCGAGGCGTCAAGGAACACTGATCACAGATCTTTTCTTTTATGTTCACTGTAACTTGACGCCTCGGTTCAATGCTTTGTATGGAAAGTCGTGTATATACGGCATAGTAATAAAATTTTAACTGGTATTGACGACGCATGAAACAGTCATGGTACAAAATCACTTGAAACACTGTTTGTTGCTAAACAATTTGACATGCAGATATTGATTTGTGTTTGTAATCTTAGAATTTCGCACACTACTCGACCTCCGCGCAGTAAGGAAGAGAATGGGGAGGACTATTTCTTTGTCAGTAAAGATGAATTCGAGGCGGGCGTCATGTCGGTAAGCTTAACAATACAAAACACAATTTG